TTAATTTGGTCAAATTTGGCCCAATGGATGGTTATGATTGCCTTAGAGGAGGTTTGGAATGATTTGGGAGGTTTTGGGTATTTTTTGGACATGAAGGGTATTTTGGTAATTTTGACAAATTTAGGGGTATTTTGAAAATTTTGGGAGTGTTTTGAGCAATTTAAGTGGGTTGAAGTGGTTTGAGATGATTCTTGTAGAGAAACTGATAATTTGGGCTATTTTGGGAAAATTAGGGTTTTAGGGGCATTTTGACAATTTTGGAAAAGTTTGGGGCTAAAAGGTCTAAATTGGAGTTTAGGGTCAAATTGGGGTTTAATGAGGAGGATAATCACAAAATTACTCTTATGGTGCCATGAGACCAAGGTAATCCCTATTTTAGACCCGTAATGTGTTGGTTCTAACCATCCTAGCCAAAAGTTAAGGGTTTGGGGGACCACCCACATGAGTTTCCAAACGAGTAGGGAACCAACTAAGCATGTTTGGTTTAGGGTTTTAGGTTGTGAGTGAAAGTGAGAGGTTCAAGTGTGTGTGTGAAAGACTGACTAAGACCACACCACCTAGGGCTAACCCTAAGGTCAGACACTCCTATAGGGACTCTAATTGAGCTCCCCCATGTTGGCTCCATCCTACTAAGTGCTAGAGGCTAGAACCAAACATGTGGCAAACATGTGGAACTGAAAAGTAAAGAAGTGTTTAGAATTTCTAATAGGGTAGGGTTCCATCACTAGTCCTCTAGGATAGTCAACAGAAAAATCCTATAACTAGATCCTAAGCTTCTAAGGAAGATAAACTAGACCTCAACAAAAGTGAAGTCAACATCAGCTTAAACCAAAAAATCTCAAATTCAACTTCTAAATTGCAAGACCAAATCATGGGATAGACTAAAACACAACTAAGCCTTCTAGTAGCTAGTGCTCCGTACACACCATACATTGGTTTTTGATAAGAATTGTTCTAAGTTTAAGTCAATCCACTTTTAGGTTTCAAATTAATGTCCTTAAAATCTATCTTCAAGATTTATAAAAATGTTTGCCACTGCTTTAATAGGGAGTTCTTTTTAAGAGATTAGTTCCTTATAGGATGTAATTATCTGGAATTATTTGCCTCTTTAGATATACCATATCACATATTAATATAAAATATATCATATCTTCATAGGGCAGGGAAAAAACTTCTAGTATGTAAACCCCCAGATATTGAAATAATCACTTCACAATTAGATTTGTCGTAAATAAGTATTTTTACTTCTCATGTGATATATTATTCCTGATGTTTTACTCAATAAAAAATAAGAATTTTTAAAACTCTATGAGTGGTTTGCATAATTTGTCTTCTAATATAATGAATCCCCAAGCACATGAAAAAAGGCTTGGAACAACATCTTTAGATTTTACTATAGAATGCATAATATTGAAGATCCCTCGCTTTTTTTTCCTAAATTTCTTAGAAGGCTCCTCTAAATCTCATAATTAAATCAAAGCAATGATATAATATTAAAATAACTCATTTAATATAACAAAACCTCGAGAAAATAAAACATAAAACATTATAAATAAAATTAAAAGAAAATTCAAATTAAAAATAAAATTAGTTTAGTGTTGACATTAGTGATAAAACAATACTCTTAATTGTGCTAAAATTTTTTTTACTCCAAAATAATTCACTCAAGAGTAAGTGATGCCTAAATATATCATCTTGTATAGATTTTCATCATTGAATGTTGAAATTGAATTAATCTAAGAATTATTTGAAGTTTTAAAATAAATTATTTAATGAGCACTAGAAAAACCCAATCTTAACTGAAAAAAATAACTATCCTAATTACTTATAAGCAAAACATACAAGAACTGATTTCAATAAGAAAGAAAATGTAACTATTAGATTGCACCATGATATTAACAATTGGCTAACTTGTAATTTTATCAATATATAAAAATAAATTTCTTGTAATTAGATCCTAAGATTCTATTTACTATTTTCCCAAAGACATAGAAAGCCAATTATCATATATAATCTATTTGATTAATGAGATAAATTTAATAATATTAATTTTTTTAAAAAATAGTGATATCTAAGATTAATTAATCACAATATAATTATCTCTATTATATGATTAGTTGAGATATTTCAATCACAATAAACTCATTTTTCATCAATTCAATTTGAATAAAAAATTCAAATATAGTAATTGGAGGCTAGATAATAATATTATTAGTAAATATAAATTGAAAATAAGCAGTAAGATTTCAAAGAACAATCTTTGATAAATTAGATTAATAAGAAATTAAATTTTAAAAAATATTAATTTTTAAAAAATGGCTATATTAAGATCTTAGAAGAAAAAAAAAAATAAACTCTATAAAGGGAGAAATACTTCTTATAAATGTCTAATAATGTAGAAAAGTATAAGAAAAATGAAATATTAGAGATAAATATTTTTGTACCTAAATTTTTAAGCTATCTTTTTTACCCATTTTCAATCTCAAACAAAAAATTCATGAATTTCATCCTTATATATTTTCCCAAACTTTTAATTTTAACTTCCATTAATACCCCCAAAATAAGTGCAAAAACATGCATTTCTGGGCTAATTTACAATTTTTTTTAGTTGTGTTCAATATAATGCTTCGTTGATAAAATGGAAGCGAAGGAATCAACTGTTTTGTTTGTGACGCCCAAAATGTGCATACAAAAAAGTGCTAGGACACCTAAAATGACTTACAATGTGTAGTATTTGTTGCTCTATGAAACTATTTATAAAGATTTATATCACATGGTACCAGGGTTTTGAAACCAGGACCAATCGTCCGATTGAACCATGAACTGGTTATTTGTCCGGTTCAATCCAACCTAAGAACTGGCATCACATTAAAACGGCATGAATTGGCCTAATTTGCAAGCTTCCGCCGCTCATTGGATTTTGAGTAAGTTCTTATTTTCTCCCTATTGTGTACGAGGCTGGTAATGAAAGGCTTCCAATGGAACAAATGGGAATCCCATCTTCTGATTCCCCAATTTATATATCCTTAAGAAATCATATGAGCTCTTAAAGTTGAAGATGAATTCAGTCTTGATTTAATTGCAGCTGTTGAATGATTCGTGTATTGATATAGCAAAGGAAGATGGTGGATTGAACTCCATGCTTTGTATAAATACTTGAGTAATGCTTCACCCTCCGAAGAAAACTCATTTGTTTATGTGTTAGATTATGTCTGCTTTCTCATTTTTATTTGGTTGTAATTGTCTTTCTGGTTTTTAGAATTTCTATTCTCAGGCCTAAACTTTTATATTTAGATACTTAGCACTCATATCTTTAATATCATATAAAAAAAGAATACTATTTCTATATTTTGAAAGTGAAATAAATCTTTTCATGTATAGATATAAAAAGTAGGCTATTTTAATGATTTATATTTTTAATATTTTATTATTATATCATTATTGCATCATTTAAGTCATATTTAACTAATATTTTTATTTATTACAGTTCGATCTCCAAATTGACCCCAAAACTTTAATGTCTGATTCGATTTTTACAACTTTCTTGGTATATATAAATCTACTTGCTAGTCTGAATGCCTTTATAGATGTCCGATCGGCCGCTAAGTTTTTCTCATGTTTCCGAACTTAAAAATTAAATAAAAACACTTTTTCATTTAATTTCCTCTCAACTAAGTAAGAGGTAAAAGTTAATATGAAGTCAATTATTTTATCTTCTCATTCTCTCTTCATATCCTTGCATCCACTCCCTTCAAACCAAACCAAGCCTCTGCTCATTCGTATCAAGTTCATAGCCAACTTTGATTTCCTTGAAGATGGTGTTCTTAATTGCTGATTAGTTCCTATAAATGTTGTTAGTTTGATTTGTTTATTGTTAATTATCATGATTTGATTAGTTTAGAGAGATTAGCAACCCATACTAATTTAATATTTTTTTCTTATCTCTTATATACTTTGGAAAAATAAACAAATATGAAGGATGGAATCTATGTTGATTGGTCAGCGAAATTTTAATTATTGTATTTCCCACTACTCCTTTGGTTGAGCTTTATCTCGTATTCACACCTAAAGAAGCGTCACATAGTTGTTAATAATTACAATTAAAAAATGTGCAAATCTAAATTTACTTATTGAAAGAAATCACTTATATAAACTATCTTATTCTTAATTTTTTTTATTTTAGAAAATATTTAAATTCTTAACATAATTATTTCAAATAAAATAATTTTTAAAAAATAGTGTAATAGTCATTTGAAAAAGAATATAATGACCTAATCAAAATCAACTTATTTTTGCTCAAATATGGCTTGCGAATTTTTTTTTGGTGATATTAGAGATTATCATAATATAAATCAATTTAAAAAGATATTATTTTATATTATAATAGAAGTTTTACTTTCAAATTATGATTAAATAAATTAATTTTAATAAAGCATTTTAAATTCGATTTAAATTTAACTTTTCAAGAAAAATATTACATCAAGACTTGTAGAGCTATGTTCGGAATCCATTGATATGTGGACACGTGACTTCAAGGAAACGCGCACGCTTTCTTGTGATCCGGCCCAATAACACAGGAGCATATTGCTCCTGTAATATTTTGTTTTATTCAAGTGTTATTGTGGTAGTATTGATATGTTATTGTGTTATTATAACATCGAAAATATTTCCAGAATGCAGTAACACATGAATAACACCACAATAACACTGAATAATACAAAATAACAATGTAGAAATATTTCCCAGCGCTAAAATATTTTTTTTTTAATTTTTCTATCACATCTACGTGAGCTTAAGTTCGAAGCCTTCATGTAATATTTTTCCGACTTTACAAAATAAAAACTTTGGTGCTGACCATCACTCAGCTGTTCAAAATTCTATTTTTATTATCTTCCCTGAGCTGAGCGGCCGGTCTAGGTGGGCCCCACCGAATACGAAAAATAAAAAAATAAAAACCGAAATTAAGTCTACAGATATCTAACCTCTCTGGCCAATAGCGACATCCAATACCTGGTTACAGCTGTATCCAATGTTCCCATATTTTTCCAATTTCCCCCCCATTTTTAACGCTTGCTCTTCAGTCCTGGAGAATATATCGCCAGTGTCCGATGCGCTCTGAACTTCGTTTTTGATGTTGATTAGCTCTGAAAGGCCGTGATTGGTGGATCCATAACCGGATCTGTAGGGATTTTTTGTCGTAGGATTGTGTTGGTGAATAGAGGGTGAAGACTGTTCACGTTTGAGTTCTTGGGATTGGCTGGCTTTTTTGGGGAAGAAGAGAACAAAAACGAGGGTTTCTGAGAGGGTTTGTTTCATGCTGAGTTGGTTGAGGCTATCCACGGCCGTCAGGTCTAAAGATTCGAGGCGCTGCATTTGTTTATCTTGTTTTTATTCGTAGACACTCGACTTCCGAAGAAAACTTAGAAGAGAGAGAGAGCGAGAGAGAGAGAGAGAGAGAGAGGCATTTGCAGCTTCAAAACTGTAGATTCCTGATTACATTTCTCTGGAGGACAGTTGAAAAGGGAGGGAAGGAATCATTCGGAAAGCTTGGGTTGCTTTTTTAGTATTTGTGGTGGCGAGAGAGTTAAGGTTAGATACTTGAGCTAGGTTTTGGAGAAACCTAGGAAGTCCAAGTAAGGGGGGGAAGAAGAAGACAAGGGAGAGAACAAAAGATAGAAGATAGATCTTTTTTATTATTATTTTTTGCGTAGGCCTTCAAAATTTTTGATGCTGTAAAGAATCTCCCCGCTCTGTCTGGTTGGAAGGAATTGGATTGTCTGGAGTGGTGGGCGAGCCCGTTGCAAAAAGTAAAGTAGTAAAAGAGCAAAGATAAAGAAAGGAAAGGTATGCGTCCAAATTCTATCTCCTTTTCTCTACCTGTAGAAATATGTTTTGTTCCTTTTTGTATTTATGCTTTTTTCAGGATCTTAGCTTGAAGTAAACTTAGTGAACACAAGTACATATTTGTTGGCAATTTCATATCCAGTGTTTTTAGTTTAAATGCAAATAATAGGAAACTGAATTCCCCTAAGAAATGAACAAACTTGCGTTTTCCACTAATAATTTTTTGCTCAACTCTACTAAAAAAATGGGAGGAAAAGCTTATTGGGACCTGTATGTTTGGGTCTAACCTTTTACTAAAATAACCTAATGTGCTTTTCATCATTGCAAAGATAAAATTTAGTTCATTTTTCGCTCCTTTTTCCTTCTAGAATAGATACCATTAACCCGTCCAATTTTTTACTTAATTCATTTCCAGATGTCATATTGAAGATTTTTAATTCAAATTAGGTGTGTCAAAAATTGACAGGACATACCAGCACGACTCAAAAAATTTGGTTTTAGTTTGGATTAGAAATCCCAACCATTTTAGTTTTTTGGGTTGACCAGTCAGCCCAAAATTAACCCAATATTGACTCCTTTACTCGAAATTAAGTTAAAATCAACACTTTAACCCCAAATTTGACCCGAGATTGTCTTGAAATTGACTCGAATTTGACCCAAATAATTGTTATGTCTTATATTATATTGGTCGGGTTTGTTTCAGCGGGTTAAATATGCATATATTAGGTTGGGGCTAGGCTTTCGGACCTGTTTAATATTCGAGTTGGTTTCAAGTCAAGAAATTTCGGGTTGAATCAAGTTTTGATGAAACTCAAACCCTATCCGTGAACTCGATTTGACTCCCTTAACTCATATACTTATTAGAAGGTAGATAATTTGAAAGGATTGTATTTTTAATGGTGAATATTTTTCTTATCAATAATTAAGATTATTTCTAAAGGCCCAAGCATGCAATTCATGATAATGTTGAGGAAATCGTGGGAACGCATCTGAAATTTTTGGTATGGGGCTCCGAAAGTCACTTGTCTAAACTTTTAAAGTAACTTAACCCAATTTGAATGACCTTGAGATTGGAAATGCACTCAACTTATTTATAAGACTCAAAAGTAGACATCGCCCAACTAGTTAGAGGGCTCAAGCTTAAAAGCCACTTATCCAATTTAGAAGGATCAAGCTTAGAGGGCACTCATTTGACCTCATTTGACCTAGAGGGCTTTCTTTCATGCTAACGAATCAACATGGGGTTGTTAGGGGAGGAGGGTTTAGAATAAACTCGCTTATCTAGCAACATCAAATTCACAAGTTCGTAAGACCTTTAAAGTACTTTTCTAGAATAACAATCCATATTTATTTTGATTTCTATGCCCATGTGTCTATAACAAATATGTCATATTTATTTATTAGATTCAAATATAGCCATATGTATAGCACCCAAAAATATTATAAATACTTGGTCAACGGGTCGCAACAAAATTAATGACTAAATGCTTTATATTTTTTGATGAAGTAATAACATCTCAAAATTTCTCTCTATTTTTCTTTTTTTGTCTTTGCCTAAGATTCAATGCTTTATATTTTTCAATGAAGTAATAACTTCTCAAAATTTCTCTCTAGTTTTTTTTTTAATTTCTCATTGCCCAAGTTTCTGCAAAAAATCATGTGTGCTCTGGAAGTATGGTTCAGTCATTGTCCCTAATAAATGTGGATCTAATATCTTTTCAGGTGCAATGAACATTGATTGATGTTAAGAATATAAAAGTAAGTACTATGTCAAGTAGAACATCCTAGCGGAGAAATTTCATTGAGAATAGAGAGCCAGGTGCTTGTAATCAATAAGCTGCCATAATAACTCAAATCATATTACGTTTGACAATTGGTGTGAATGTTTCCTGATACTTAGGGTCTGTTTGGGGCAGATGTAGCTTGTTGACAATCTATTGATAAGCAGTCGATCCAGATAAGCTGGTGATCAGTAGCTGATCTGGATAAGCTGGTTGGTTTTTTATTTGTGCTATTGAAAAACAGTTGATTGTGGGTAAATGATCAGTTTGCCCCTGTGTAGTAATGTTTGCAACAAAAATATCATAACAATATATTTGATACTTGAGAAACAAAAAACTATTTCAGAATAGTATAAAGGAAAAGATACATACCTCACATAACAGTGAGTATCAATTGTACTAATATATATATAGGTTATTTGTCATATATATATATATATATATTAAAATTACATTTTAAAAAATGATAATATTAATTGTAAAATCCAGACGGCGTATGCTCCGAACTATGCATCCTCCAGTGATGCCATCCAATCTCGATCATTACCTACAGTGGAATCTACCGGACTCTCTGCCCACTAGAAGAAGTCACATTTCTCTCGATCGTATGCTCATCACGGACACTTGCAGAACTTTCTCCCGTAGCTATGTGTCCGACGTGACATTAGCAGGGAAGGTTGTAGTTCGCAGTAACAGAACACTGGTCGAGAGGTTCCTGAAATTCTGGAGCTCATCTTTCCCGAATGATCAAAAAAACAATTCATTAGTCATAAAAATGTTCAAATTTCCAAGTCCAACCACCAACAAACACACTGAAGTCCAACCACACACACACACTACATCGAGCACACACACACACACCCAAGTCCAACTACCAGCAGACACACACAAGTTCAACCACACACGCACACACCAAGTCCAACCATCAGCAGACACACTCAAGTCCAACCATCAGTAGACACACCCAAGTCCAACCACCAGCACAGACACCCATATCCAACCACCAACACATTTTTTTCTCAAATTTTCTTTTCAAGTTGATTCCTACTTAAGGTTCTGTAGCTATGATTTCAAAAAATTATCAATGTTATTGATTTCCAGCCACGGGTGCATCTTCTCAGGCATATATATCGAAGAAATGAGCAGCAAATGAAGACATATATACCAAAACAATGCCACTGATTTCCAGCCATAAAGAATCTGTAGAAAATGATGATTAATGCTACTGATTTTCAACCAGAACAATTCTACTTATTTCCAGCCATAATTTGCTCAAAATAGCTTTGAGAATTTCCCTTAACCAAGCTTGATCAATCAAAAAAAGGTAAGTAATCATGAAAAAATTCCAAAGAAATCCATGAAATCGGAAACCACAAAGGGAAACTAGTGCAATGAAAAAACCAACAAAATAATTATAGAATAACATTGCAAGATACCGGCCGAGGTGTGACAGTAGGAGCAACCGAGGGAGAGGCGAGGGAAAACAGACCTAGGGCAATTGTAGTCGAGCGAGGGAGAGGGGCACGGGAGGAAATAAACCGATGAACACATATGGAAGACGTGGGTCGCGGGGTCGATGCTGCTGCCTGCATTTATTATAAAACTTAAACCGTCATTTCCACTGCCGCAACACAAACGCAAGAAACAAACGATGGGCTGGCATTTTCAAAACGCCAATCACACTTTTAAGCTGCGCCAAACGAACCCTTAATCCTGTATGACTGCGTGAAGCCCTTGGTAACAGGCCTGGCTTTGAATGTTTTTGCACTTCGATCTCCTTTGTATTTGACCTTGAATATCCATTTGCAGCCTACATGATTTTTTTCATGAGATAATTCTGTAAGTGTCCACGTGCTATTCTTTTTAGGGATCGAATTTCTTCTCAACAGTTTGTTTCCATGTTGGAACCTTTAGAGCCTCTTGGATAGAGTTGGGAATATGCACACTGTCACAAAATCTGTGTACGATTGTAGTAACTTTGAATAGGCTACATGTCTTTCAATTGGATGACTAGTGCACCATTTTTGTGTGAAATTGGTGGATTAAAATGTCATGAGCCATCAGTGTAAGAAAGTCATGAGTTGAGGAATCCATACCATTATGATTATCAGGAGGTGATTATCAGGAGGATGATTATCAGGAGGACTTGGCTTTTGATAGTCCTGAGGCTGCATGGTGTCCTATATATGCTCAGTGGTTTTTCTCCTTCTAGTGTAGACATGAAATTCCTAATCATTGGTGTCATGTTAAGGTGAAGTAGAGAAAATTTAAATTGTTTATGTGATAGAGTTTGGTCCTTAAAGTAGAGCTGGTTGAGGGGGAGTAGAGATAAAAAATCTCAAATATGATATTCTCTCAAATTCTCCCTCTAAATTTTAGATTTATGAAAATAAGATTAATTCTCAAAGGTGGCATTCATGGAGTTGTATATTTTTCTAGTGGTTGGAGATAACATTTGTACCCTTTTTGATTGGATGAGTAATCCAGGAAAATGCTTCTGAGAGACTTGAGTTCAAGTTTAATGTGGTATTATTGACTGATGTGAACAAAGACAGAACAACAAAAAATTTCAATGTTAAGTAAAAAAAAGAACGGATGTGTGGGTAGGATTCCATGAGCATATTACAGGGAATTTAAAAATTTCGGACTCAACTAGGCATCATATTAATGACTTATATGGATGTGAATGGCTTCCTCCCAAAAATATCTAGGCACGTGATTGCACAACATAGTGACACGAGTCTCCTAAAATAAGTGCATTTTTTTCTTTTTACTATCTCATTTTGTTGAGGAGTATTCACACAAAAACTTATATGGGTAATACAATGCTTGGAAAGATAAGGACTAAGGATAGAATTAAAATATTTTTTAGCATTATCAGTTCTAAGAATTTGAATTTTGTTTTGAAATTGAGTGAGAATTATGAAATGAAAAGATTGAATTATGGTGGTTGTTTAGATTTTTCTTTATAAGGAATGTCCATATTGCTATTGTGTGATCATATATGAATGTTACAAACCATCATACCCCATTTATATTTTTTACTTGAGAGGGTTCCCATATATCACTGTGAATTACAAAAAAGGATGTGAAGATTTGTATCACAATTTGGAATATACATGTCTGATATGTTTTGCAAGTTGACAAGTTTCACATTAATAAAAATTAGATTTTTAAGTAATAAATAAATGTGAAAATATTTTTTTCATGTATTTAAAATTTAGATTACCAAGACGACAATGACTCAACATGACTTGGTTTTCAATTGATATTCATGTTACTATTTTAAAAAAATGTAAACAAACATATCCATCAAGTTATATCTCTACTTTCTTTTCTATTGCCCCCATCTACTCATGGAAGGAGGTGAGTTGTGCTGTTTCAGAATTCAAGTCAATAGATGGGAATTAGTTTTGAAAATAAATTATTTTTAAACTACTAAAAACTTCTCAAAATTGTTAATAATTTTTAAACAAATTAGTCTGTTTTATAAGAAAAATAAAGTAATCTGGTCACCTGATTTCTGTTGTTGTTGGGGAGTTTGTTCTTTTTTTGAGGGTGTAGTTTCTTAGACATTTTCTTGCAGATATTCTAGTCAACATTCTTAAAAAATGTAAACAAACATATTTATGTTATCTTTATACATTTTTTTAGAAACAGAACCAAAATTTTTTTCAAACAGGGTCTAACCTACCAAAGGATAAGCGAACGTTGTAAAACAATTTGGAGTTGACAATAAAAAGAAAGATGGATTTTTGATATATGAATGATACTTGGCATTATCTATCTGTTAAAGGATAAGTTAGCATTAACTCCATCAAATAAGAGCCGGCAATAAAAGCAAGAAATTATCTATTTTTATAACGATGATATTTAGGCATTCAATAAACTATGAAAGGAAAGGTTTACGTTATAAATTACGATCAAGGAATAGTAAAATCTTCTTTTCTTCATGAGGATTTGGAGGACATCCATGTGGTGCAACCTTAGGGCTTTTGAAGTTATTTGAAGGAAAATCCTTGTAGCAAATAATATATAAGATTATATGTTTAAATGTTGGCTCGTTACATAAAAAATATTTTAAGACTTTGCATCAAATAGGCTTTGTTTTTTCTAAAGATAAATTTTTGCGGCATTGGTAATAGTTGCATCTTCTTTCTTATACATGGGATTACATGTTGTTTATTGGAACAAATATTATTGAGATTCATTAGGGGAAGTACTAATTTGAAGGATGTGGAGAGGTAGAGAATATTATTTGGATGAGAATTGCTCGTGAGAAATTTGCTTTGCATGGAAGTTGTTTCAAGCTGATTAGGTTTAGATGATATTAAATCACTATAATATGTTAATTACGATTCTTTTTAATTATTCTGGTGCCTAGTCATTTATATTAAACGCTTAAAGAAATAATCACCCGAAACTAATGAGAAAATAGAACATATAACTATAATACAATTAGTTGGTCAAAGCACTAGACTTGATAGTAGCACATCCGGGGAGCAATAAGAAGGTAAATTCCAAATTTAGAGAAGTCTCTGATTGGGCGGCAATGAAATGGATTTTAAAGTCCTCATTGATTTTTAGTAAGGGAAACATACTCATTGATTTTTTGTACGGGTAACATGAAACTTTAGGTTTCGTTGGTGCTGATCTTGTTGGTGATCTGGATGCTCATAGCATGTCATGCTATATTTATAATTTGGATGATATTTTTATTAGTTTGTCATCACTGTTATAGAATAAAGTGCTTTATGAATCACAAAGGGAGAATGCATAGTTATTGGGGTGGGCATAGGAATGATTTGATTGAATTTGTTATTGAAAGGAAAAGAAATAGGATTTTTTTTTGGGCAATTGTTTTGTACATTTAACTAAGCATGAAAAATTTTATTCTGGAACAAAATTTATTATAGGATTTGTTCTGAGGTCGTATCTTATAGTTGAAAAAAAATTAAAAAACATATTGAAAACTTGACTAGAAATTGATGCTTTGTAAAAGCTCAACTAAATTCCATCGGGTAATTTAGAGGTGTCATATAGTTTCCTCCTGCATGTTAAAATTTTCTATTCAGGTTGGAGAGCCTTAATATGCCGAGGGCAATTTTGTTCAACAAGCTTAAAACAAAAAATGATGATTTTATAGGTACTTATACATATGATCTTGTTGAATAGGAATCAATATTAAATTTTGATGCATATTTTATTGTGAGTTCCAATTAACCACTGCCTATTTGATTGATAAATAGCCGCATGCAGGAACACACCAATAGCAGTTCAGTTGGAATCCTTTTGAACACCTTTGAATGGAAAAAAAAAATGAAAAGATGTATTGCTAAGTGAAGTACGAGTTGATCAGAGATAATTTATAAAAAAAGATGATCGAGTGTGAGCTGTTTTGTGTTCTTATTCAATTAAAAAAAAAAGAAGAAGAAGAAGAAGAAAAGATTGGGAGAGAGTAGAACAAATTGAGAGTAATTACTCGATCTTTTTCAGTTGTGGTTGTGGTGAGAACCGTTTCAGCACAGTGTGCATTGTGTTGTGTTTCAAACGACGGCGGCAGTGATAGAAAATATTTGTTAATGTGAATAGGAACCACAAAATTTTTTTTTTGTCTTCTCCTTAAAGACTCTTATATTGTTATTTAGTTCTTTATCATTCTCACAAAATGTAAATATCTTTGATAAAATTTGATATACTCCTTTCTGTAATGGTGATCATGGACATAAGCAAAATAATCTTTGTCAAATAACTTAACTATTAGTCTTCTGTTTTAAATTTATGAAAATTTATTTCCATCATAGGTAGATCATCTGCCATTATTTAAAAAAACATGTTCAAGTAAATCATTTTTGCCATTATTCCACGATTGAGCAAATTCAGCAAGTTCATATGCTGCTGACATAATTTCTTGAAGTAGATAGCTTTGTGGAAATTATAGCTGGACCCCAGAAATATTTTGCCTTTTTTTATTTTCTTAGTTTTTTATAATGACAATAATGGCAGACTAACTTTACTCATTAGCAATAGTTGGTAAAGTGAAGACAATAGCTGAAACACTTCTCAAGTATGTTGTACTAGGAATCCTGTTCTGGAAGATTGTCTGAAACTTTGAATGTTGTGTTTTAATTGGCTTGTTATCATTAAGTTGATGCTTGATGGAAATAAAAAAAACTTATCAGGTAATTTTACTACAGATTTCAGCCCCCACCCTCCCAAAAAACCCCTGCTTTACTCCCTCGGTTCCTCTCTCTCTCTCTCTCTCTCTCTCTCTCTCTCTCTCTCTCTCTCTCTCTCTCTCTCTCTCTCTCTCTCTCTCTCTCTCTCTCTCTCTCTCTCTCTCTCTCTCTCTCTCTCTACCCCCTCCAGTTCCTCACTCCCTCCTTTATAATGGACATGCATAGCTGTGCATGTTTGTGGACAGGTGCACGTGCTTGTGTGTGGCTTTGAGGGTGATTTTGGAGTGCTTGTTTTGAGCCAATATTTCTCTTAAAGTAAGCTAATTGTATGTAGTTTATGTAGCTTAATGGTCCAATCTCTTAACGGAACCATCAATGTTTTCTATTCTGTGCAGATGAGAGTCAAGTATTGAGAATGATGGATCCCCAAGTTTTTGTTAGGTTGTCAGTTGGGTCACTTGGATTAAGAATCCCGGTGGCAGCTACTTCAAAAGCAGGGCAAAGTGCCAATTATCTTTCATTATCATCATGTCTGTGTGAGATCCGCCTGCGAGGCTTCCCAGTTCAAACTGCCTCAGTTCCCTTAATATCCTCTCCCGAAGATAGCCCAGATCCTCATAGCAACACAACAGTTTTCTATCTTGAAAAATCTGATTTGAAGGCATTGATGGCTCATAGATGCTTTCAGGCTGCCCAACCGTATCTTGAGATTGCTGTTTACTTGGGGAGAAAAGGATCTCATTGTGGTGTTACAGGTAGGAAGCAGCAGATTGGGACATTCAGGGTGGAAGTGGGACCAGAATGGAGCGAGGGAAAACCAACTTTGCTTCATAATGGGTGGATTAGTTTTGGGAAGAACAAGCCAGAAGGCCGCAAGCTTGTGCCAGAGCTGCATCTGAGAGTACAGCTGGATCCAGACCCGAGATACGTATTCCAGTTTGATGATGAGACAGCCTCGAGTCCGCAGATATTTCAACTTCAAGGAAACTCAAGGCAGCCCATTTTCAGTTGCAACTTTAGCCAAGATAGGAGGTAAGGAAGATATGTTTTCTTTCATTGTTTTATTTATTTGGGGCATTTACATACATTCCACCCAATTATTATGTATTTACATATCGAACACCTAAACTTTACTTTTTACATACAGCCACTAAAATCTTTCATATCACATAAAAATTATCACTTTTTAAAATTTTTAAGAGTGAAATACACCTTTTTATCCATAGGGAAGGTGGCATATGTGGAAAAATTATAGTTTAGGTTCGGATATGTAAATGCATAAGAATTGGGTGGGTATGTATATGTAAATCTTTCGATTTATTTTTATTCATGGAGAAGGGAAATTATGCATTCTGCATAAGAATTGTTTCTTTCAAGTTTTTATGCAATGCAGTCAGCATATTACAGATATTCTTTGTACAGATCCTTTGGTGATATTCTCTATGCCACTAGGGTTCTTATTCCTTCTTCAAATAAATTCAATTACACTTGTTTGATTTTATGTACTTGATGTTTTTCTGTTGATTTTTTTACGAACACAGGTGAATTTTTAAATACTGCGATGCACTAATAATAACAATTAGTTTAAGGGACCGTCCTCACCAATCAATTATCCCCTCTCCACCTGCTAGTTATTCTTCCACTAATTACTCACCACAGACCCCATTGCTAGGCCTATCTTGAATTTTCAATACTTTTGTTTCTTCTTTTATGATCATGCCTGGGACAACGTTTGTTGTTCATCTGAGGTTAAATGTACCTAAAAGCATGAAAAACGGACGAGGCTATTTGAACTTTTTTCTTTTAAGATGATTTTCATTTTGCACATCTTTTGTCGTGAATAACCACACCTTTATATTTCTTCCATAACTCACTCACGGAGAAGATGATTCAATATATTTCATTTATCTTTGTTCCATAACCTAAGCGCCGTTTTTTGACTTACTACTGTCTATTAATGACAATGTTACACCAAAAGCTCCACTCATTTTATGTGATGCAGCGCATCATTTCTAACTTAAATTTATCAACATTAATAGGACAACTCAACTTGATTCAGTAGTTGGGACCTGGACCTATCCCAACAATGTTGATCAGAACGGAGAAAGAAGGGAAAGGAAGGGCTGGAAAGTGATGATTTATGACCTCTCTGGCTCCGCAGTAGCAGCAGCTTTCATGTCAACCCCATTTGTCCCCTCAACAGGCTGTGATTGGGTGGCCCGTTCCAATCCTGGTGCCTGGCTCATTCTTCGTCCCGACCATTTTCGGTCCGTCGAGAGTTGGCTACCATGGGGCCGCCTGGAGGCGTGGCGCGAGATTGGGCCACGTGACTCGGTCTGCCTTCGCCTCCACCTCCTCCCTGAAGGCCAAGATGCTGGTGTTCTCGTGTCGGAGATAATGCTGAGTGCTGAGAAGGGAGGTGAGTTTTTTGTAGACTTGGATAGGCAGACACCAGTCAGTATGCCGGCTCATAGGCAACAGAATCGGGCCGTTGAAGGTGACCACGCAGCTGCAGCTGCAGCTTCAGGATCTGTATCGGGTTCATATGGATTTGTTATGAACTGCAGAGTTCAAGGGGAGGGGAAGAGTAGCAGGCCAATTGTGCAGCTTGCAATGAGGCATGTAACTTGTGTGGAAGATGCAGCCATCTTCATGGCTGTAGCAGCAGCTGTGGACCTTAGCATGGAGGCGTGCCGGCCGTTCAGGAGGAAGACCAGAAAGGGGAGTTGGCATTCCATATTGTGATATTATTGGGATGCATTCATTATACATTGCATCTCCTTGAATCGAGTTTTCATGTGCTTTATGTGATATTCTGTGAGTTGAAACATTCCTATTGTCTTCATGTTGGTTTCCTGCATCAGGAAATTCACTTTGGTAGAACTGTTTTAGGAAACTTTGTTTTTTGCTTATAGCAATGTTACGAATTGTGTGATTGGGGTTTTATAAGATGATCTTTTGAATCTTTTACTGCTCGGATATATAGATGAAAGGCTTTGTTGTTTTTGTATTATTTTTTGTTTCTTTTGCTTTAATTTTATGCAATATAAATTGTGTTTGATTTTAGATTTCAGTCTATTTCTTATTTTATGAAGTATGGCTATTTTTTATGAAGAAAACTACAGCGTATATCAAAATGTCACGAGTTCTACGAGGTTCAAGTTATTATGGCAGCTTCGTCTTCCTTCCTGTTAGATCATCTCATTGGTTGTGATTGTAGCTACAGCCCCATGCAACTGAGAATTCGTCAGGTAATCTTTTGTGTTCTGTTTTTACTTTGGGTGATTTACAGGCATATCATAAATTTCTTATGTATTTATAAATATAATATCAAAATCTATTTAATATTTTCTTATGCTTGAATCCCATCGCAGTGTTTGCATTAAACTATGTTTTATTTTATAGAATTTAATATCAGAGATGTTTTTCTGTGATTTAGAAGTTTGAGTGTTATATATAAATATGAATATTCAGATATTCAATATAGAAGTACATAAAAATTTTATGATATGTATGAAAACCTATCTTTTTTTTAATTTTATAATTAGAAAATTTCTCAATTGGGTTTTAGTTGAGGGATTATTTAGACGTTCCTTCAATTTTGTTTTTCGGTTGGCTTGAAAAAATATATTTTGTTTATTTATGAGTGGTAGCCTAAGTCAGCAGATGATAATTGTAATTACTAATTAGTGGTGGCGAGCAAACATTTAAAAATATATTGAATATTTTTTTTAATATTAAAAGAAATTATTTCGAAGTGTTGAACTCAAAAGTGTTCGGAAATCACACCAAAAGAATATTGTACTTAAACAAGTGGAATAGGAGAGAGTGAACAATAAAAATAAGTGTCTAAAATTTTTCCCCCATAAAATAGCTTTTTATTTATAGGTATTGGAGATACATTGGTTACAAAATTACCTATAGGCCCTATCTTATGTAAAGGAATTTAAGCGTATCATGGTCACCTTCATGGTACATTTGATTAGATTGAAGGCAACACGTTTATTACTTGTTGCCCTACATTTGTCCGCTCGAGATCACAACTTGAATCACGTGAATATGGTATGAAAGTTCCTCGGTAGAGTATTCTTTTGGTTGCTTCTCAGATTTTGATTTGTTCGCTTCGTTTGTCAAACGATAAGATGTCTTTCGTTCGACGTTCCCTTTGTAAGTCTTCTGTTTGACCTCCATGTTAGGCGATCCGTTTATTAGGTGAACGACTTGATTGAGTTTTGCGACGATCTTCTGACTTTGACATTAATTTTCTTGATTATTCAGCTTAGTACATGGACTAGCTCTATCACATCTTGATTGGGGACCAACTTTGTTTGTCGTGTTCCTCAGCCTTGCATCAAGTTCCGTGCTGCCACAATCTAGTCATACATATCTAGTTCTTTAATTTTATTTTCTCTGAAAGCAACAGCTGTGAAAAAAATAAGATAAGTAATTATTTCATTAAATACAACTTTAATTCTTGAAATCAATATTTAATAATTAGATTCCATGGATTTACGTGCCTCGTCACCAAATAAATAGGCTGCAATCGGTGATCGAGGTTCCAGCATTTTCTCTTTGTTCAAAGCTTTGATCGTTCCTTAGGCAAGTGCTTCGATGACGAGTGATAAGAAGTGCGATCTCGGGAAACCATCAGATGACCTCTTGCTGAAGGTTTTTAGACTATCCATTGTGAAAATTAAACCTTTGCACCCTCCATTAGGAGTCGCCATGCTGATGACAGTTCGGTTCGCGAACGAGGAAGATGCCACAAGGGTGTCAAACCTGCTAGAAAATGAATACGATTCATTTGATGATGTTCCTTTAGTGAGTCAGAAGTCTGTGAAAGGCTTGGTCGCTACTCCTGTTGAGGGCTTTTAGGTGGTTGTGATAATGAAGACAGTTCATTCGATGATGTTCCTTTGGTGCGTTGGAAGTACGCGAAAAACCGAGTCGCTATTCCGGGTCAATCACCCCCGGTGAGCAAGTAGAGGAGTATACTTGGCGGGCTCCTGAGACTGCGTCGTTCAAGGTCAAGGACATGGTTGGTTCTCAAATTGGGGAAAAAGGAGTTGCGGGTGCTCCACCCATGCCTCGTGAGGGTTCCTCATCCTTGCTTTGGTCTGAAGTGGATCAACTTCTTGATAGGAGTATGATTGTAGGTTCATCCGTAAAGACGATATTTCTCAACCTATCTAGACCTTTCTCTTCTTTTGCTCCATCTCTGACTCTCTGAAGGCTGTCAAGGGTCAGACGTCAATTATGCAGAAAACTGCAGGGACCAGCCGGTGGTCGTTGAAAGCGAGTCAACCAATTCTGTGGTTTGTAGCATGGACAAAACAGTGGATTTATTTGCTTGTGAAGTCAAAGCTTGAAAGAGAGCTGAGGCTCAACAAAAAGCCAACATAAACGAGCTGAAGGTGCAACTAAATGCTCTTTCTGAGAAGCTGTCGGCGTAGCTCTTTAAACTTAAGGTTGATGCATTATACCATCAAAGTGAAACTGAGCTTGTTCAAATGGAGACCACGTGTTTGCAAACAGATCTAGCATAAGTCTGAGAGGCTTGATCAATTTTCAGGTTTCAAGCTGAGGCATACAGGGTTGATAGGTTTAAGTTAGGGGTTGAGTCTTGTACAAAGAGGTTTATAGGCAAGGAAAAGTTGCGCCTAAGGCGGCTGATGAGCAGGTTGTAAAGTTTTTCTTATCTAAATGAATATAAGTTTCATTTCTTCTGTCTTTGTACCTTGCTTACGTGAAAATTTTTAATTATTTTCTCTTCTCTTTTCTATTTTTATTATGTGACGTGGGGTCTGCATTCCTGAGTTACGGCTTGCGACGCTTCAAGTCCTTCCACGATTTCATTTCTATCTTCTTGTTATCTTTGGTTGCTTCCTTTCTCTTGTCTTCTCCATAAATTGCTCTTTATGGCTTCCAAATTCTCACCCTAGGAGTTCAAGAAAGTGTGCACATCAGAATGTTTCGTGTTGTCTTCAGATGAGGTTTCAAGACTTCAGAAGTGATACATCTTCGAGGATGGTATAGTGTTGGAGGTTGCGGACCTGAATGACCTGGCGACCGACGATTATGAGGGGCAGCTTATGTTGTACCATAATCAATTCATTGAAGGACTTTGTCTTACTTTCTGTCGCGACATTGGGCTATTCCAAATCATTATAGTGTCATTCCAGCCTAGCTCAAGGAGAACTGCATAGTGGCGGTAATGACTTATGTCATTTGCTATCGTCAAATGAAAATCCCTTAGTCGATGGAGCTATTCTCTCACGTCTTTTTTTTCAGGGTCAATCCAGATAGTTGTGTGAACTTTACTTCAAATAGAATGATTTGGCTAGTTGACCTGGAGAATAAAGTAAAGAACTAGAAATGCAACTTTCTCCTGACAACTTTCTCCTGACATCATTTCTTTCTTCTTGTTATCTTTGGTTGCTTTCTTTCTCCCGTCTTCTCCATAAATTGCTATTTATGGCTTTCAAATACTCACCTTAGGAGTTCGAGAAAGTGTGCGCATCAAAATGTTCGGTGTTATCTTCGGATGAAACGATACATTTTCGCGGATAGTATAGTGTTGGAGGTTGCGGACCCGAATGACCTGACAACCGATGATTATGAGGGGCGGCTTGTGCTGTACCATAATCAATTCATTCAAGGACTTCATCTTACTTTCTGTCGCGATATTTGGGTTATTCTAAATCATTATAGCGTCATTCCAGCCTAGCTCAAGGAGAACTGCATAGTAGCGGTAATGACTTATGTCATTTGCTATCGTCAAATGGAGATCCCTTGGTCGAGGGAACTGTTCTCTCACGTCTTTTCTTCAGGGTCAATCCAGATAGCTATGTGAACTTTACTTCAAATAAAATGATTTGGCTAATTGACCTGGAGAATAAAGTAAAGAACTGGATATGCAACTTTCTCCTGACATCACTTAAAGATTGGAAATTGGTGGTTTCTCACTCAACCGTCTGGGGAATCTTACCAACAGGAGAAGATCCACCCCCTCCCCCAATCGAAGGAAAAAACTGTTTATCGTCCAACTCGTGAAGACATAATGAATAAGGTTTTGAACTTAAGTATGAATGAATAAGTCAAGAGCTATTGGCCGCCTCACATGCTAATAAGTTGCAACGGGTTGAAATGACAATCAAAACTTCCACTGAGGAGCCGAGGATGAAGAAACCAATGGAGGGTGAGAAAGTGCTCCCAAAATGGATCCCAAGTTCATACCTTCTTATTTATACCTCTGTGACAACCGTCGTAATCCAGTAGATTTCATCCAATGAGCTAACTTTAATTGAAAGAAAGTCTACCCTTAAAACAGGTGATACAGAGAGCGGGAGCGACGAGGCTACTCCACCATCTTCTTTGTAGTATGATGCTGAGCCTACTCTTGATGGCAAACCGACAGAGGTTTAAGAGGACCCCCGGTTCGATGCGTCAGACTTCATCTACCTCGCATAGAGGGAGAGAGATGGTCGGCCCCCTCCTGATCATGCATTAAGAGAGGATCAAGATGCTGATTGGAGTGTGGGTTCGAGCACATTAGAAATTGGGTTCGAGAACAATGACGACATCACATTTTGCAATGAGCAAGAGAGCAGTACACTTATTGTTTAGGGATACCAGTGAAGAAAGGGAAAGGAACCCATGGGTAATGATGGTTCACCCTTCGCTTCCCTCCCCAATGGTAGTGGAGAGTGGGTTCCAATGTAGAAGGAGGAAAAAATCCTTTGTCTCTATGGATTTTCGATTCACACTCATCGAACTTCAGCGCAACTAGTTTTGATGTGGCCCAGGTGTGGAGTCCCACACCTTGGATCTAACGTAAATTCTTTATTTCAAATGTTATAAAAAGAATTTATATGATTTGAGCCCCCCCTTGGAGCTATGCTAATTGATCGATAGATATCAGCTACTCGGGGCAGCGATGTCCCATTATCTGCCCAACTTGTACTT